ATGTTAAAGTGAGTGTAGACAACCCCCTCTTGTTTTATATATATATATATATATATATATATATATATATATATATAATAAGTAAATAGAAATCAATAAAGAAAATTAAAAACCAAAATATATGTAATTTTGTCTAATGGTATTTGATATGAAATATATATATATATATATATATATATATGATTTCATTCTAAGTGTATTTTTATATTAATATATATATTAATATATAAAATACACTTATTACAATATATATACACACAATTTTTTTTATATATATATATATATATATATATATATATATATATATATATAGATAAACTTATGGTTATTTTTTTATTTACTAATATATATATAAATATATATAAAATAGTAAATAAAAAAAATAACCATATTGTAACGGCTACCCTGGTGTAGAGAGGGTACCAGCCGTTAGGGACGTCCTTTTCTTCCCGGCAGTGGCTGTGTAGTGATGGAGTCGCCTATTCCCTTCTGCTGGATCAGGAGTGGAAGCCAGGTACAGCTCTGAAAAGAGCTAAGTGATTAAGCTGCAGAGATTCCCCTTTCAAGAACAAGACGAGGCTACGTTTTGAAGGGTCAAGAAGAACTGAGGGTTTATTGACAGACAATCTGCTTTTATGCGATTCTGCCCATGCAAGGGAGACACTCACATAATTAGCAGTACAACCAATCCATACAATATACATTCGGTAAATTCCCTCCTCTCAGATAACCACATAACATAATTAAAAAGGAACAGTTTTTTCCCAAAGTTTGGATGTACCCCAAATACTTGGGGTACAGACATAAATTTGGAACTAGAATCAGACATTCAAACAGGCGAACAACGCTGAGACCTCCACACCTTCGGGAAAACATCGCCAAAACTACTGAACGACCGAGCGTTCGGTAGAAAGAATCAGCAGCAGATGGGGATTTCAGCGAACCCAGGATGGTATACAGATGGCCGGCCATTCGGGAGTTTTTACCCACGTTCTAAGACCGACTGCAGGGCCAGCATTCATGGAACTGTTTTCGGCTACTGTGCCCGTGCGGTCGGTCAAATCTTCTAAGTCCCATATCTCCTGAACGGCTGAACCGTTTGAGCTGATTTTTTACATATGTTGGTACCTGAAACATAAGCTACCTTGGGGATACAAGTATTTGGGGTACATCCAAACTTTGGGAAAAAACTGTTCCTTTTTAATTATGTTATGTGGTTATCTGAGAGGAGGGAATTTACCGAATGCATATTGTATGGATTGGTTGTACTGCTAATTATGTGAGTGTCTCCCTTGCATGGGCAGAATCACATAAAAGCAGAGTGTCTGTCAATAAACCCTCAGTTCTTCTATTTTTAATAGAGATCAGACAATTTCTTTTGATTATTAGTGAGGCAATTCTAAACTACTGTATTATATTTGTATTGGTAAATTGAAAGCATTTTGCAGACCCAGAAGAGAATAATATAATAATTATAAAAGGAACCATACTATGGGACGAGGTCACCCTATTAACTTGCTAAGGGGTTAAACTCATTTTTGATAAGCATATAAAATTTAGTTTTTGTGGTTGGACTTTTGATAATCAATTTGAACTATTCCAACAATACCCTTGCAGGTATAGGAAACAGCTACAATATGATTTTGATATTTGAAATATATTAGTGTTTTCAATGTATTCTGACAATGGAAAAGTTCCTAACCGCATGTCTGCATTACACCTATGACCCAGACTGTCAGTATTGCAGACCCTATATGAAGACTCTGCTTTCACTGTTTATGTATACACCCCTAAACAACTGTGCTATACATACACAATTTAAATCTTCAAAAGCTTAATATTATATCTGTGTGGTACACAAAGAGGGGTACACAAAGAAGGGGGTGTGAGTTAGGTAATCTCGACCTGCATATGGAATATGCTTCCTCCTTGTTCACTTTTGGTCAAACTGTTGGTTTGTGACTGGCCTTCTTTGACCCCAACTGAATTTCTTGGGAAGATTCATGAAAAAGATACAGCAGGTTGTTTTGATATAAAGAAAGAGGGAAAAGGTATGTTGTATCGGTCACCAAGGATTGTGATCTTAA